ATAGTATGCTGTACACTTGTTCTTCGTTAAGCAGGATATGTTGAGCGTTTTCATTTGTGTATTCTGTTTCCCAGAAATGAGTATCTCAAATCCACGGGTGGTGTGTTAGTACACATTTAACAAACAAACAGTAATTAGTTCATGTAATGGTTCTCCATTACATTTCTCAGCGGCCAAACTCTTTGAAAGGCAACCCAGGCGCTGCTGCATTATAATTACCAAAAGTGTTCCCCTAGAGGTGGCAATTTATGGGCAAGGGGAAGAGGGACAGAATATTGTTTGTTTGCTGTTTTCAACTAATTTGCAGATTTTAAAGGTTTTTAAAATGGTTCTCTTGAGCCAGTTTGTACTAAAATGAACCTTTACAGGGTTAATGAAGGCCACCCGAATATTCCACTTGCAGCTTCAGAGTTGCGGGTCTGGTCTGTGCGACTTAGAAAAAAATTGAGCTGACATATCTGGCGCTGCAGTCTGCTTCCAGCATGTTTCCTGCATGTTTTAGATCATGAACACAGCTGATTTGTTTAACTCAGTGATAAACCGCTCCTGTAGACACTAGGGACGTCTGGGGAGACATTTCAGTTAGATTAAGGTGTTAACAAGACGAATGTCTGATTATTTCCCCTGAGAGAATGGTTTCACTGATTAGTCCAAAACTTGGTCTTTTATCTTCTGCCGTCAAGACAAACTTAAGGAATTTGGGTGTTGTTTTTGACCAATCATTGTCTCTTGAAGGTCACCCAAAAATATCGGTCCGAAGCAGTTTTTATCACTTAAGAAATACCTCCAGACTGCGAAGGTTGGTGTCAAACATGAACTTGAAATGGTTCTCCATGCCTTTATCTCCTCACGTCTAGACTACTGTAACACACTTTTCACATGTTTTAACAAAAAAAGTCCTTGACTTCCTTCAGTCGGTCCAGAGCTCTGCAGCAGGGCTCCTGGAGCAAACAGAAGAGCACACATCACTCCTACTCTAATGTCTCTGCACTGGTTACCCGTTAACTTTAGAGTTCATTTTAGAATCATGATTATAACTTTCAATGCTCTACGTGGACAACCTCCTCCCTATATTACTGAACTGTTACAGCCTTATGCTCCAACCCGAGCCCTCAGGTCCACCCGCCAGAACCTTCTAGAAGTTCCAAAGACCAGAGATAAAAGTCGAGGTGATCGCTCCTTCGCGACTGTTGCATCTCAACTTTTGAATGATCTTCCTTTATCCTTACGTAGTGTTGACAGCCTGGAAACGTTTAAAAAAACTGCTGAAGACCTTTTATTTAAAGGTGCTTTCACATAAACCTTTTATTTTCTTATTTTTAACTCAAATTTTATTTTTAACTCATCTGTTTATGAAATTGTATAATTTTATAATCATTTGTATAATCAAAATACCCTTCTAGCTTTGTGATTGGTCCAAGTGTACTTTTTCATTGTTGTTTCATACGGACATTTCTGATCGAAAGCCATGTATTAAATGAGAGAGAGAGAGAGAGAGAGAGAGAGAGAGAGAGAGAGAGAGAGAGAGAGAGAGAGAGAGAGAGAGAGAGAGAGAGAGAGAGAGAGAGAGAGAGAGAGAGAGAGAGAGAGAGAGAGAGAGAGAGAGAGAGAGAGAGAGAGAGAGAGAGAGAGAGAGAGAGAGAGAGAGAGAGAGAGAGAGAGAGAGAGAGAGAGAGAGAGAGAGAGCTTTTACATCTATCTGATGACTTCTGAGGGAATTAACATTTCCCCCATGGAGCATGCAGCCTGAACCTGTAAAAATGTAGGCATCCACTTCTTTTTGGACAGTCTGAGTACGCTGCCACTGAGACTTTCATTCTGGGGAAACTGCTGCCATTTATGTTATCATCTGTACTCTTCCTGCAGGAAATCACAGAACGAGCCCAAATGACAGCTTGTTCCAGTGTAGTGACAGGAAGAGGGTATTTGGGGTTTTATTATTAGCAGTTCACACAGCTTCATGTTTTGTTTGACGGATTGTGTTTTGTCCTACATAGAGCCCATTTTCATAGCAGAAGAATGTCACCACGTATGGCTTTTTAAATGAAGGCCACTGGAATGTGTGTGTGTGTGTGTGTAAATGGCCAGTATTTGAAACAGCGCCTTCTAGTGTCTTGGAACCCCCCAAGGCGCTTTACAACACAATCAGACATTCACTCATTCACACACACATTCACACAATGATGGTGATGAGCTGTGATGTAGCCACAGCTGCCCTGGGGCACACTGACAGAGGCGAGGCTGCCGAGCACTGGCGCCACCGGTCCCTCCGACCACCACCAGCAGGCAACGTGGGCTAAGTGTCTTGCCCAAGGACACAACGACAGCGACAGACTGAGCGGGGCTCGAACCTGCAGCCTTCCGATTACGGGGCGAGCGCTTAACTCCTGTGCCACCGTCGTGTGTGTGAGTGTGTGTGTGTGTGTGTGTTAGGAAACACACTTTATTAAAAGCCATGAGAGGTTAACTAAGTTAAAAGTCCATTCATTGTTTGTTGAAACTTGTGAAAAGAGGCAGTGTATTGGAGTAGATGCACCTGTGTTAAGGCTTTTTATTCTGCACCAGGACTCTTCTCACTGGATGGCAGTGATGGACTCTTCTCTACCGAGTTGCCTTGAAGCAGCCGAGGATAATGGCAGCCAGATGGTAGAACTAAGAGGGTAGGAGGAGCATATCTAATGCATTTTGAGACGCTCCTCTGGGTTCGGTCAAGATGACCATTTACTTTCTTTCTTCAACCCCTCACCTGATGTGTGCTCCATCAGAGGCTCTGGCAGCAGCCAGTGTTTTTTTTTTTATAAGCTGTCTTGAACCAAGGCTATGGGTGCATTATAAATTAATTCATCCAGCTTTTTTTTCCTCTTATCCAGGTTTCACTGTACCAGAGATGCTCTCTTATGAGAAGCTAGTGCCAGATGAACTCACAGAAAAACAATGTTGGGTTTCTAGTCTCACTTGTCCTCCCCTGAGAGTGGTGAGGTATATTTGCCACAATACACATCAAGAGCTGCCTCTGGTGGTGAGGTATATTTGCCACAATACACATCAAGAGCTGCCTCTGGGCCCAGTGTGCAATGACCCACACATCAGAAATAGGAAAGAGTGTGTTGTGATAAAACTGCTGTAGGTCGATAGGATCCCTTTTAGACACAAGTTTATGTCATCCTGCTTGAGCTGGGGGCTGTGTTTAGTGCAGTGGAGCTTTGCCTCTCGATAGTTTGTTTAGATTTTAACTGAACATTGTAAAATGGTGGCTGCACAGTGGCGCAGTGGTTAAAGCTGTTTCCTTGTAGCAAGAAGGTCTTGGGTTCGCTTCCCGGCCTGGGATTTTTCTGCATGGAGTTTGCATGTTCTCCCTGTGCATGCGTGGGTTCTCTCCGGGTACTCCAGCTTCCTCCCGCAGTCCAAAAACATGACTGTTAGGTTGACTGGTCCGTCTAAATTGTCCTTAGGTGTGTGTGTGTGAGTGTGTGTGTGTGTGTGTGTGTGTGTGATTGTCCTGTGTGTCTCTGTGTTGCCCTGCGATGGACTGGCTCTCTGTCCAGGGTGTACCCCGCCTGATTGCCCGTTGACCGCTGGAGATAGGCAACAGCCACCCCTTCCCCCCCCCCCCCCCCCCCCCCCCCGCGACCCTGCGTGGTCAAAGCGGGTTCAGAAAATGGATGGATGGATTGTGAAATGGCCTCTTACATCTGCCACCAGAGCAGACCGTGCTCCTCGTCACTCTTTGACGTGGACATGCAAAGGTTCTCCTGGGGGCGCATGAACAGAGCCTGACCTTAAAGGCTGTGTATTTGCCCAAAGATGACAAGGTGGTTGTTTCAACTAGATATTTTAATCTAATCTTTAGAAAGCTCAGGGTCTCAAGTGATCATTGGTCATAGGGCCTGTTGTGTGTCATTTGCCTTTCTCTTCTCCTTTCCCTTCATGTCATTGGCTTTTGCCAACACGAGCCTGATAAAGATCATAGACCTGCTCCTGACTGGGTATATCTGTCTTGGATGGCAGATCTGAGAGGTCCATTGCCTGAAACATCATTGTGTCTCAGAACCACAGCTAACTGCTTGACACAGGGTCAGCCCTAGCGCTCAAATCTGAGAATCAGCAAGCCCCTTAATGCGGTCCTGGAATTTAAAATGACATTTAACTGTGTGTTGGTAAATATAGACAGCCTGGGGTGTCTAATCCATCCATCCATCCATCCATCATCCATCCATCCATCCACCCAACCACCCATCCATCCATCCATCCAACCATCCATCCATCCATCCATCCACCCACCCACCCACCCATCCAGCCTAAGCAGAGAGGCCCAGACTACCCTCTCCCCAGCCAATTGGGCCAACTCCTCCGGGTGAATTCTAAGGCATTCCCCAGTCAGCCAAGAGACACAGTTCCTCCAGCGTGCCCTGGGTTTTGCTTTGAGTCTTCTCTCAGTTGGATGCACCCAGAAAACCTCAGAGGTGTCCATGAAGCATCCTAACTAGATGCCTGAGCCACATGAACTGGCTCCTCTCGATGTGGAGTGATGTAAATTAGTAGTATGGTAATGGCTGTGGAAAAACAATTTGATCTGAAGAAAGATGGTATAATACATCATAAACGTACAAACAACACCCTCACATTTGCATGTCCGAACCCACTTCACCATCAACAATATGTTGGTCACAATAATGCTAATCACAGAACAATACAAGCACAAGCTACTGCTAATGCTAGCCTGAGCGTCTGCTATTGCTGACCTGGGCTACTGCTAACATCCCTGTTGGACTAGAGGAAAAGAACAAGGAAAAATTCTTGGGAATACCCAGACTATCAATTAATTCCAGATAGATCCATAGTTTATGAACCTCAGCCTGACACTCACTTTGCCAGATGCTTACTTTGTTCTTCATCCATTCACAAGCCATATTCTGGGTAAGCCATTACTTCATTGTGTGTGCATAAAACAGTTTGCATAATAGAATAGCTAATTCTTTTTACTGCGTGTCTCTCTTTAGGTCTCTGCAAGACTTATCCAAGCAGACGGAGTTACCATATGGGACAGTGTTGGACTCTGCAGTATATGATCAGGTGCGCTCAAAGGCTATGAATCCCTTTGAGAGAGATCCTATGTACTCCCAAATGTGGCGGATGATTAATCGCACTGGAGGAGCAGATAATAATGTTGAAGATTCACGAGAAGGCGTCCGAAAGGTAGGCCTTTATCTTTATTTATTTATTTACTTTTATTTATTTATTTTTTGCTGGTTTTAAATGAAATATGGTCGACTTGTGTAAAATCACAGGGGTTCTTAAAATAATGGTCGTATCAGTGCTGTGATACAGCTCAAATAAATGGAACCATGTCAGTCCCTCAGTGCCAGTCATTAATATATGAGATATAATCTGTTGGTACTTGATCTTGTAATTCTGAAGAACGTTTATAGTTTGGTTGTTTTGGGAAGTAAGCCTGAAGGTTTGCATCATTGTTTTTTTTATTTTTTTTACCTCTTGATGTTTCTGGACAAAGAATCTTGTCGTGCTTTCTTCAAAAAACGTGTTTCTGCTTGTCTGAAATTCAGATTACAGAATGTCAAACAAATACACCAGATAAACTATTTTTAAAAGAAAATGAACTTTTGTGGAATCAGGAACGTCATTATTTTAAATAAAATGAACATTTAGGTTACTTCTTTTTCTAAATGTATTCTGTAGCGACAAATCTGGCGACATTTCTGACCGCCCCTCAGCTACTTTGACTACAACTTTGTTGCCGACTTTACCTGCAGATTAGAGATGCATCTGAAGTGACCGGACTGTCCTTCCTTCCAGAGGATCAGAAAGAAAATGATCTGTGCATGCAGCGTCGCACTCGCACATGGCTGCTGGCTTCTCGCACCACCTGTGGTGCATTCAAGGAACTCTATGATGAGTTCAATAATGTAGCACATTTAAAACTTTTATAAAAAACAGAGTAATACTGTAAGACAAACACCTCAGGTCATTGGCAGTTTGCATGTAACGTTTCTGATTACTAAATACGGCCTGCTTCTTTTTACACAAAAGTACTAAAAGCAACAAAACCAAACAAAAATAAAATATATATATATACTATCTTTTAGGTCAATATATAGCACTGAATCACAACAGAAGACATCTCAAGGCACTTGAAAACTACAAGAGAAAATTCATTTTAATTCAATCATACATACATTCCTTATGCAATATTTTTGTGTTTAAGAGTTCCATTCTCTTCAGACAAAATAAAAATATTCCTTCCATTTTTTGTGGCATCTTCCCTTGATGTTTTAAAGGCTGCTGTTTTGTATTCTATGGGTTTTTATTTTAACAAAATATAAAAAAATAAATAATATTTTAAATAAAGTCATATGGGTTTTATTTGATTTACTCTACAAGACCGGTGACGTCATGACGCAAACATGGTGACGTCATCACGCAAACCAGATGACTCCATCACGTCGTATGCAAATTCGCGCGTGACGTCATCTGGGACATCTAGCGACTTTTGGGGGGAACTTCAGCTACTATCAGTCAAAAACAGTTGGCAACACTGGCTCAGTTACGCCTGCTGCCATCCTGCATCAGTAATTTCTCTTCAGAGCATTGATGTATGATGGCCTTGAAGAGCAAAACAGGCCATTTAACAAAAAAGACCACTTCTGTCAAAACACAAGAGAAAAAACTGGACCTTGCATTTCAAAACTAAAACACAGTTTTCTAAACACAACAGTGACAAAAGATAAGATTCATCCAAATTTCACCCCCAGAATTACTATTTCACCTTATTACTACACTTTAGATGCTTGTTGCAAAAGGATGAAGCCTGGATTTGTTGATTTACTTTCTTTTCTCTGATGTGGCCCAATCTCCACAGCCCTTTACTAAGTGTATTTGAAATGTTCCCTATTTTAATTTTCCTCAACTTATTGAGCTTCGTAGTAAATTTTTACAATTACAGAAGAGAAATCATTCAGATTTGTTGAATGGAAATAAGTAATTGCATTAAAACATGATGGATAACTTGAGTTTTCTCTATAAGAATAGAATAGAATAGAGTTTCAAAATAGTTATTTTTTTCCCAGTCATGAGCTTTATTTCTGATTCTTATAGTACACAATTGCAAACAAAAATGCATTTATTTCTCTATTATTTCTTAAAAAATTCTTAATCAAATATTTGCCTGAAAAAATTACAAGTTTGGTAATATGTAGTTTAAAAAATTTAAAATTGACTTCATAAAAACAAAAATCTGCATTATAGTCTGTATTTTTCTATTCAATTCAGGAGAATTTGTTTATAAAGCACGTTTCCACCACCAGCCAAGGAAGTCCAATGTGCTGTACGAGATAAAATCAAATCAAAAATAAAATCACACTGAGAGACAGAAACTGCTAAAAACGTGTGCCTTTGTTGTGTCACAGGTTACAGTGGATTGTGGTCTTAGTACTTGACATGTCAAATACATTTCCAGTCTGATGTTTCCATGCATTTTTTATCTTATATTTTCATTTCATTTCATTTTCAACTTTTTGAAAAAAAAAAAGTATTTTTACAGAGATTTGTATTTTAGGGATAAAGGAAGGCTCAAGGCTATAAATAAATAAATTAATTAATTAATTAATAATTAATAAACTGGACACAAAGACAGTCCAAGGCTAAACAAGTATAACGAGAACCAGGAAATAATTTTTAAACCAAGGTTGTAATCCATCACTTTACTGAACTAAATCAGAATACGTTCTAATCAGTGAATTGATATTCCATCCACTGTTTGTATTAGGTGTTCTTTATTTTTACCATAAATCTTCAGTCATAATTCATTCTGCATGCCAGATAATCAATGGATTAAATGTGTATTTCAGTGCTCAAGCCTTAATTTACAAAGATTAGTGACTTTCCAAGCTGCTCATCCTTAGAGGGTTGTTACTGTTAACCCTGTCAGGCTCAAAATAAGTTTTGATAAAAGGACGAACAACTAAGTCCTTCAGGGGTACTTCTGAGTTAAAAAATGTTCATGAAATACGTATGTGGAGTAACCAGGTAAGTAGGTTTTAACAATGCAAATCTGCAATGCCTGCCTCCAGAGGGTTAAATCCTTTGGAAATCCCTGGTTGGTGATCATAGTTACCTGACTGCTGTACCTACTTTACATGAATTTATCTTTGTGATCACATCACCCTTCAGCCTCAACATTCAAGATGTCCTCCCTCTCCAGAATATATTAGATTTGTTTGGACTAGCAAGGGACGTGTTGGGATGAGGGAGAAAAGTGTATCGTAAGGGTTTGGATATTGGATGCAGGAATTGTACTCTGGATACTTTTACTGCTGATGATCGTTTTTCTAAACTATATCTTGTTCATTATTGAGGGACAGATCGGATTGGTGCTGCCTCTAGCAATGCGGGCGTTGGACCGGTTGGTCATGGTGTAGACAGAGCTGAGGCGAAAAGCAAAGCTTTTGATGTATTGGTCGTTCTATGTTCCGACCCTCATCTATGGTCGCAAGCTTTGGATAGAAAGAACAAGATTGCAGATATAAGCGGCCGAAATGAGTTTTCTCCATCATCCGGTAGGGGCTCGGAGTAGATCTGATGCTCCTCCATATCGAGAGGAGCCAGTTGAGGTGGCATCTAGTTAGGATGTCTCCTAGATGCCTCCCTGGTGAGGTTTTTCCAGGCTTGTCCAACCAGGAGGAGACCCAAAGGAAGACCCAGGACACCCTAGAAGGACTGAGTTTCTCTGCTGGCCCAACACCCAAGTGGCTGGGGAGAGGGAAGTCTGGAATTCTCTGCTTAGGCTGCTGCAACCCGACCCCGGATAAGTGGAACAAGATGGATGGATATTTAAATAATATAGAAAATCTCATGAATTTAACAAGAAAAATTGAAGAAAATGCTAATTTGTCACACTTCCGCTCATCTGGCTGCACCTGCTAATTCTACATCAAGTTTCAGATTTGTTTTGCCAGCTCAAATATTTAAAAGGCAATTTCAGATCTTTTAATTGGGCTTCTTGTGTGATCAATGAAAATTTTACTTGCTGTGGGAGTACATCCTGGGCTGCCACCTTACCGTGGTGGAAGGGTTTGAGTGCCTCAATGATCCTAGGAGCTAAGTTGTCTGAGGCTTTCTGCCTCTGGTAGGGTCACCCATGGCAAACAGGTCTTAGGTGAGGGATCAGACAAAGAGCAGCCCAAAGACCTCTTATGATGAATGACTGGTCACTCAGGAACACCTGGAGTGGACGCTGGCGCGTTTTTGCAGCCGCTGCTCACCGGTGATTTTAACATGATTTTATCGTGTTTTACACTTTAATGGAGCACTAGATTGTAGTTTTCCTAAGTGAGTGCTATATTTTTTTTTGCCTCCCTTGGATCCTGTTTGGTTGTCAATTTGTTGTTTTGGTGTACAAGTGGACTAAACCTACCTCTCACTCCTCCCGGCTGTTGACCCGCTGCTATCGGCTAGCTGCCTACCGCTGTTCATCCTGTGGGCCTGCAAGTTATTTATCTGGTTGACCCTCCTCTGGACTGCCCTGTCCCTTCTCCTCCAACCTGGGGCAGCTCTGTTCCAGTACACGGCGGCTGATCTCCTGCTATGCCAGCATCTCTCTGTGCCTCCACCGATAGCATTACAGCTCCACCCGGAGATCGTCCTTCCTCCCCGCCGGAGATACATCCATCGTGGGTGTCACCGTAACTTCCAGCTGGATAACTCTCACTCAATCACCTCATACTGGTCCACAACTCGTCGTCCTCTCCTCAACCCTGGCCGGATTGCAGACCTTCGCTCGCTAGCCAGCCTGGCAAAGACAGCAACCTCCAACCCAACAACACTGAAAACTTGTCCGTTCTCTCACAAACAAGGGTCAGCTCATTCAGGACCTCATCACCAACCATAAACTGGACTTCATCGGGCTCACGGAGACCTAGCAGCAACTTAACGACTTTTCCCAGCTTAACGCTTCCACTCCCCCCGGCTTTGTTTACCTATCTTACCCACGTGGCTTCGGTCACGGGGGCGTTCTCGCACTGCTCTATCGCGAGAAGTGGAAGGTGCTGCCTGTCCCCACTCCTGTCTTCAGCTCCAGTCCCACTCCCACAGTTATTGCCCTGATCTACCACCCACCCAAGCCCAATAGTGACTTTTTAAATGACTTCTCCTCATTACTCACCCAACTCACTACCCTTTCC